CAACATCTTTGTTTGTATGTGGTGCTGAGGATCGAACCCGGGCCGCACGCATGCCAGGCGAGCGCGCTACCACTTGAGCCACATCCCCAGCCCCCAATTTGTCTTTTAATTGGCATAGACTCTTTAAATTGAATGTAATTATCAATATGTTAGAGCTTTAAGTATGCCATTTTATTTTTTTTATTTGTTCTGTTTATTTATTTTTCTAATTGTCAAAAAGATCTTATATACTAGTATTAGAAAAAATACAAAATAAGACATATTAACATCAAAAGGAAAAATACGATGAAGCCATAATAATAAGCATCTGTCTTTGCTTCTTCACTAAGTATAACTGGGAAAGTGCTGATTTTTCATCTATTATTTTTTGTCTTACTTGTTAATTTTTTAGTTGTTATTTTGTTTATTTATATGTGGTGCTGAGAAAGGAACCCAGGACTTACAAAGTCCTGTAGAACTTTATAAGTCTGTGACCCCCCACCCATACCAATCATGGAACTGTATGTATAACAAGATGGAGATCTTGGGCTGGGGCTGTGGCTCAGTGGTAGTGCACTTGCCCAGCAAGTGTGAGGCACTGGGTTTGATCCTCAGCACCACATAAATAAATAAAATAAAGGCATTGTGTCCATCTACAACTAAAAATATATATTAAAAAAGATGAAGATCTTTACGTTTGGTATTTATTTGGACTTTAGAATGTGACAAAGTTCATAAAATGAATTAGGGAGTTGTATATAGCTGGATTTTTGTGGGAATAAAAGCTGTTTACTTCATTCAAAAGTTCTTGAAACACAATACTTTTGTCTTCTTGTGCTTTCCTGAGTTGCTTCATTGTTTATTCATCCAATAAGTGTTTCCTCGTTTTGCCCTTTTCTTCATGTGGCCAGCACTCAGCACTTCTCTCACTTCTCTCAGCACTTTTTTTCTGTTAACCTGTTTTGCATCTGATTGATTTGCTTTGTTATGACCTTTCATGAATCAACTTTTTGACTGAAGCATGTACATTTATTCCCTGTCCTTTTAGTGGAAAATTCCAGTGGCCTTAAAATCATCCTCTCTGTGTTCACAATTATCATGAGTGTTTGATAATTTGGCTTTTCATCATAGGCTAAACAATGAGTATACTTGCCAAAGATTGGGCTTCTTCACTTTCTCACCTACTTGTTTTTATTCCATGGTAGGGAAATCTGGGAAGCTTCAGGTATAAATGATCTTTCACTTCCTTTCCATCTAACTCCATTCAAGTGAAGAATTGGAAAGGCAATGGGTTTCACTCTAGCATCTGCTTCCAAAATGAGACCATGTAAGCACTTACTTGGGGAGCTCATGCAACAGATTTTATTTTGTTATCCTGGATAGAAACAGAGTCCTTCAGCTTCTGTTTCCAGGGAAATTTCCTGCATGACAACCATAGCAGTCCCTTAGGATTTCAACTTTTTCTAGACAACATACTCCCTTATAAACATCCAATTTGGTATAATCTCTCTTATTCCATTATGTCTTCTCTAGAATTTTCTTTAAACTGTTTATGATTTCCATTGGGAAATTTTCTGTAGGTAAATCAGTAATCAGTAAGATAAACCCCCTGTACTATTCATCCATATTATTTTTACTGTGCAAAAATTGTTGCTGTGCTTTTTCTTCTTTCCTGATATTCCAGGCTTCTTTTTTGTATTATTTCCTTTCTGTTTACAGAATATCTACTTAGCCATTCGTTTAGGGTGTGTCTATTAGCAACAAATCCATCTTGATTTTTGTAACCTAGAAGTAAATTAGCTGCTTTTTTATTACCCAAATCATATGCATTTCCACATATATATATATTCCAGTACATACAGCATTCAGATACCTAGCTGTAGGACAGTTGGCTTTTTTAAAGTACTGTTGTGTCTGAGATCAGTTTATTCCTTGCCTTCCTATTACCATAAATCTGTAATCTAACCTTGAATTCAGTTAGACCATATCCATTAAACAGAATTCCTAAATAATCAAGTTGTCTGTTATATCTACTTTTTAAATATTTTTTAGTTGTCAGTAGACCTGTATTTATTTGTTTATTTATTTATTTATTTATTTATATGTGGTGCTGAGATTCAAACCCAGTGCTTCACATTTGCTAGGCAAGCGCTCTACCACTGAGCTACAACCCCAGCCCATATCTACTTTTATATAAAGTCTTTTTTGTAGTTCTCAGATAAACTTTAAATTTCAAAAATAATGGGCCACTTACTTGGGCTATTGCACTCTTATTACATGCCTTGAATCTTTGTTAGTCTCATTTATTTATGGGGAAAGCTAAATATATCAATTCAAATCCTCCATTGCTAATCATCTTGCCCCATAACCATTGTTTTCCCTTCAAACTAGCCAGAACATTGCCATCTGGAAGTGTAACATGAAGTTTATATTTCTCATTTCTTCTTGGTGGTATCACTTTGGGCCTCAATATGTTCTGCTACTGGGACTCTGTTATCCTTGTTTATCATCTCTTCATTCTTTTTGGTTACTTGAATATTTATTAGAATTCCATTTTGATTATTTATGGTGTCTTGCAATGTAATTCTTTGTATGTATAGCTTAGTGGTCAGTTGATGTCTTACATTATATGCATGTAACCTATCACAGTGTATTGGTGTCAGTATTTTACCAATCTGAGTAAAGTGTGAAAACATTACCTCCTTTAATGTCCCTTTATACTTTCCTGTTTATAATTGTCTTAAATATTTTATTCATACACATTTAAAACAACACATCAGTCAGTGTAGTAATTTTATTTCAATTGTTAAATATAATTCAGAAAAATCAAGAGAAAAAAACCTGTACTATTCATCCATATTATCTTTTCTGTGTAAAAATTGTTGCTGTGCTTTTTTCTTCTTTTTTGATATTCCAGGCTTCTTTTTTTATATTATTTCCTTTCTGTTTAGAGAACATCTACTTAGCCATTCTTTTAGGGTGTGTCTATTAGCAACAAATCCACTGAGTTTGCCCATGTCTGAAAATGTCTTGATTCCCTTCATTTGTGGAGGATATTTTCTGTGCATGTGAAAAAGCTTTTTATTTTAAATCAAAGTGGTTCACCAATCTAATCATAAAAATGCTCACCATTTCACATTTTTGGCAATTTCTATCTCTCTCAACTTTTGGTAAATCTGCCCTATGTTCTCAGCATCACAGCACCTATGGCCCTCAGCAACCATACAGAAAACAGAGATGATCTAATAATATTACCTGTTCCTAATTTCATTTAATTTAATAAGTTTAAAATTCTTTCTCTACTATGAATCATTAATAAAATTTTCATGCTTCTTATGAAATGCTTGACATCTCATACAATGGTCCTCTGTTTGAAAGCAACGACAGGTTTCCACTATAGTCTGTTCATCATATAACTGTTAAAGGAGAAAAAAGGAAGAGCTATACTTCTCAGGGAAATTTTTCAAACCCTGAATTTCTTCTCAGTCTATAATGAGCCAAACCCAAGAACCACACTTCTTATTTAAACTATTTTTCTTATTTGAAGTTGTTTTCCAGATCCTGAATGTCTTCTAAATCTAGAATGACACAACTACAGGATTGGGAACACAGCCTCTGAGAAAGACCCATTTGCTGATGAGAAAGTCCAATTCCAACTGGGGAAATTTACCCAACCTTTTTCAGTTTAACATTATACCTGTCACCTAGAAAAATAAATCCAAGTACCCATCTGGATTTAAGGAAAAGAGTTACTTATGATTTTATAAAAAATGGAACTATGTAATTTATAATTCCCCCAAAAAGTCAGATGATGCTACATATTTTTGTTTCTTTTTCTTGGGAGAAAGGGACTATATAGAAACTTCTCATTTTTTCTTTTACTACCTTAGTCCAAAGTTAAAGGCAGATCATACTATCAGTCCATCACACCTTCTTAACTAAAAAATCACTCATGCTACTTTTCTGCTAGCTTTGGCCACATGGAAAACTAAGTCTGATTGGTATATGACTCCACAAAACAGGATGCATAAAATTGTCATCTTAAGGAGGTGAATAGTGTTTCACCACTGGGCTCAAACTGAGTTGTTTGCTTTTATCATTCCTTCAACTAAACATAAGCATGCACTCCTAGGATTACCTGCTGCACAATCTGGTCCTTCTGGAAAAGAATGAAAAAAATTTAAAATAACAAATGTCCCAGGACTTTTGAAAAAGTCAACAACAGTTCTTTCTCCAGGAGAAAAATTTCTCCTTTCATCCAAAAATGTGGATTTACACATGTAAAATTATGTATTTGTATAAATCTCTTTAGGTTTATTCAGATATGAAATCAATCTTGATATCTTGTCTTTATGCTTCTTCATCACATCAAAGGGTTAATTACAAAACTGCACCTATTTTTGTCCACAAGATTAACCAGGATTTAGACATATATGAAACTTTTTAATGTCTCTTTCTTTTCAAATTGCAACAAATATTTTTAACTTACTGCTGCAGTCTCAAATGTGCTCATCATAATAATGGCCAAAACTAGAAGACATTAAAAAAAAACAAAAAACAAAAAAACCTGAAGTCATCCGTACTTGCCATTTATTTACTCTTCTGGTTTGGAGAAAAAGGTAAAAAATTCACAAATAACACAACCTAAGCAACTGTTTCAAAGTAAACATCAGCCTTCAGCTTGCAAAATAATTTCTTGATAATTGAGCCAATTGCAGCAGAAGACCCATCTCAGTTGCTTTTTTCTTCTTGAAGAAGTCAGCAGGATAACCAAGGGATGTTTTCTGTGTTGAATCTGAAAGGTGGAACAAAAGAAAAGCAGTCTTTTCCATTTCAAACCCTGAAGGTAATGTGTAGAAAGGTATGCACATTTCAATAGGGAAAATGGCTGGATAAAAGAAGCAGGACTACCCGCTCTAGAGGACAACATAGAAATACCTGCCACATCCTGATTTCAGAATTTTGTTTTGAGATGAATACAAAAGCGTCTAAATGTCAGGCAAGTGTTCTTTGTGTGTGATAACGATTCTCACATAGTCCAGCAAACACCTACAGCTATCCCAGGGCCAGTCTGCCCCAGGCCCAGAAGCCAGACATCAGGTAGCCAGACCGCCTAAGCATAACTCATTCTGCCATCTTCCCTTCCCTGAAGGATATTTTTTTTTCTGGGTCTAGGATTCTGGGTTGACAATTCTTTCAAAACTTGAAAAATATTGTGCCACTTCCTTCAGGACTTCATGTTTTCTGATTTGAAATTTGCTATCATAAAAATTGTTCTTACTCCATGTGTAATATGTTGTTTTTCTCTGGCAGATTTCAAATTTTTCCTTTGATTTTAGTTTTTGGAAGTTTAAATATGATGTAACTTTGAGTGGATTTCATTTCAGCTTATCTTGTTTGGGCTTTGTTCATTTTCTTGAATTTCATCTGCAGATTTATGTCTCTTGACAAATTGGGGAAGGTTTATCCTTTGTTTTTGTTTGTCTTTAGCCTTGCTCACTGTCTCCTCTTTTATAAAATTCTGATGACATGAATGTTTGGCCTTTTGTTATAGATTCATGGATCCTTGCATGTATGTTCCTTTTCTTTTCAGTCTATTCATTCTTTTTTGTTCATACTGGGTAATACTTTTTGTTCTATGTTATAGTTAATTTATCCACTCTATCCTGTTTTGAACTCATCTGAGAAGTCCTTCTTAAATCCTGTTATTGTGTTTTTAAACTCTAAAATATATATTTGATTTATTTTACCTCTCCTAGTTTTTTTTCTGAGATTTTCCAATTTTTCACTTGTTGCAAGTGTGTTTATGATTGAACATAGAAAGCATTATAACCATGACTACTTTAAAAGCTTTGCCAGATCATTCTAATGTCTTTTTCATCTCAGTATTGGTGGCTATTGAATTTTCTCATTCAGTTTGAAATTGTTTTGGTTCTTGATATGAATGATTTATTATTAAAATCTGAGAAGTTTAATATTATACCAAGAGACATAGAATCTCACTTTAGACTTCTATTTTAGATGGCTTTCTGAGATATTGCTTTAGAAGGGGAAGGGGTGGAGCCTCACTATATCTTTCAGGTGAAAGTACAAGTCCAGGTTTCTCATTTGGCTTTGGTTCACACTTGAAATTGAGGGCTTCTTCTTACTGAGGAAAGTTTGGCTCTTTCTAGTGGTCTCCACAAACACCAAGGGAAAGGAGGAGGAATCATTATTGGTTAGCTGGCATGAAAGTCTGGTTTCTCTACTTGGCTTGCTGTAGGTGGGGGTGTAGGATGTAAGTCTAGAATTGTCAGTTGACCTTTGCTGGCATTGGGGCAGGAGAGATATTTATTCTGTGGTGTTTTGCTAGAGCAAAGAAGTTACTGTCTAAAAGTTTTCTGTCTTACTAAAACTTCCCTTTCCTGGGAAGTCCTAAGAGATGGCTTAAATGATTAGATTTGTTTTTCTGTATTGTTGGTGCTTCTGGGTTGCCTGCTTTGTCAGTTCCAACCCAGAAATGTGAACCAAAAAGAAAATCCAAGTAAATCATCCAACCTATGGCTCCCTGTAGGGAGGGGCAATTACTGGGACAGGTTATCCTGGCAACAGACTGGAGCAGGGGCAGGTTATTGATAAGGGTGAAGGAAGGGCTGTGAAGGAATTAATATTTCAATCCTTCAGGGGATAGTCTCCAACTTATTGGACTCACTCAAAATTGGCCTCCTTGATCTGACCTGACTTGATTTTCCTATCTATACCGACTGCTTGTCTAATTTTGGCTTCTAATTTCCCCCCCTCTAAGTTTAGGAACTCCTTACTACTGTAAGGACAAAGGGTCAGGGACTGCTCTGGCTGCTTCAAAGGTGAGAGGGGGCAGCATGAGTTTGGGCAAGCAGCTTTGGAGTTCCCTTTTAAATTGAAGTCTGGTTCAATTTACAACCGGAAGAACAGGTTGTAAAGTCATTTGGGGATGGGTGCTTCCATAAGAGAGAAAGAAAACGACATGAGTACTGAGTAAATGTTTCAGCATCTGGGAATGTATACCATGAAGATAATAGAAGTTTTCTCACCAGGAGATGTGAGGGCTGAGAACTTGTTCCCATAACATAGTGTCATTCCTTGAGTTCCAGAGTCTCCAGTTGGTTTTCTTTCATCTCTCTACCTTCCAGAGTCCTCTTATATTTGTTTTATCCAGGGTTTTTAGTTGTACTTAGTGGGAGGAATTGAGAAAAGTATACCTACTACATCAACTGAGAAGCAAAAGTATCCTATTTTTATAACCATGCCCATGCCTATTTTTGCATATAATCTCTCTTATATCAGATATCAGAAAGTTAAATTCAATAAGCATTTATTGTGCAAAGAGAGGCCATCTGGACCATTGTGTAGCACATTGGTAAGGTCTAACAGTAGGCAATAAATAAGCAGATAAGGGGCATCAGCTGGATCTCATTAAGGACTGTAGTTGGGTTCCCCAGACACTTAGAAGGACTTACTTAGAAGTATTTGGCTATTCCCAAAGCATTTGGATGTATATCAGGAAACAAACAGAGATTGAAGTTCAAAGAGAGACAATGTAGTGAGGAGGTGGCAGGGTACTAGGTCTAGAGGTATTAGGATTTTGAGATTATCAAATCAGGTATGCAGGTATAAGAAAGAAAGGTGAGCACCAAGCTAGAAGAAATAAGGCAAGAGTCCAATATGAGTACAGATAAGCCGAACTCTTTCTTCTAGTCAAGTCACTTTTGTATGATCTCTGGATACTAATTCATTTAAGCTTGTGCTATGATTGAGTGTAAAAATTTGAGAGACTTTTGCACTCACTTTGTCTCTAGAATTTCTTAATGTTTAATTTAATTCACTCAAGTATTCTTTGCTTCTTAGATTGTTGTGGATGTCATTGGTGTTTATTTTGTTTTGTTTTGCTCTTACTCTGATTCTAGATTTTAGCTTTCCTATTTAGCTCTGACATGTTGCCCTTGTAACTGTTCATGTTGTCATGACTTTGGTCCATGGCATCTTCCAGGACACCTGGAAAGCCTGACTATTCTTTTTTGGCTTTTCACATTATAGCCACAGGAAAATGGTGATCTGTTATGTTTCTATTACAGTCATCCAGTTGTTGTTTTACACTTTGTCCAGCTCCCATCTGACAGAAGGAGGGATCCAATACAGACTAACACTATAGATAGCATTTGCAGAGACATCAGAGCTACTGGTTCCTTAAGTTTTCTTGACTAGGCATACTGTGACTTGGATGGGGCTGTGTCTGCACGTTGAGTCCAAATGATCCAGTCAGGCAAGTCCTTTCACTTACCTCTTACTATCTTTAAAGTCATTAACAAATTAAATAAATATCACTTGGAAGTAATCATTATTGCTGAATTACTCTAGCACAGACAACATTTTATATTTCAAAGAAAACTATATATGATAATTATCAGGTATTTAATGCAGAGTTATAAAATATTCCTCATACAGTGTCCACAATACATTTAATACTACACATGGGCTCTTGTCCTGGTATGTCCAGACACTGGTAGGAAATGGGTCAGTGTCCCCTTATACACCATAGTACCACATTCTCTTGTGTGTGTGTGTGTGTGTGTGTGTGTGTGTGTGTGTGTGTGGTGTTTGTGGTGCTGGGGTTTGAACCCAGGAGCTCTGTACTACTGAACTACAACCCCAGACCTTTTTACTTTACTTCTACAGGGTCTCCCTAAATTGTCCAGGTTGGCCTTGAACTTACAATCCTTCTGCCTCAGTCTCCTGAGTAGCTTTTTGCTTTTGAGATAAGGTCTTACCATGTTGCCTAGGCTGGTCATGAACTCTTAGGCTCAATTGATCCTCCTGCCTCAGCCTCCTAAGCAGCTGGGACTATTGGTACACACCACTACACCCAAATTTCTATTTTTCTTTTTAATCTAAAATGATGGATGGGGATTTATGGTACAAGTTGAAGAACCAACTCTACCAATTCTATTCTAACAGCCAAGAATGACTTAAGTAATCATGCCAGTTGACTAGTTTTGAAAATTGATGGCACAAATATAAATGCTATGGAAGACTTTTCCTTTTATAGGTTCTTTAGGGGCTTTGAAAGTGTCTTGATTTTTTTCTACATTGTGGGAATTCAACTAATTATCAGTCTTAGATCTTTTCTCCTCCCTTTATATAGTTGACATTTTCTAAACATAAATGCAACAAGAGGTTTTAGGTGCTGAGCATTTTTAATAATATAAAATAACACTGTTAAGTGCACTCAGTGATAGATATGAACTTGATATAGCCTTTATGTAAGTATTGTGCAGTTGAATGCACACCAGAAGATAAGAATTTCCCAATTAGTACATGAAATGCCTTCAGCAATTAAGAAAAAAATAAGTTCCAAGGAGAATGAGGGAAAGTTTGCTTGCCCAGAGGCTTTGGCTTTTGAAACACTAATCCATTAAAAGAAGCTCTGAATCACCTGCGGTTTTATAATGGCAGAGGAACGTGAGCAAATCCCTTCAGCCAGAAAAGCCTTTAAGCTGAAAGGTCTCACTAGCTCATACTTGCCCTGTGATAGTCTGAAAAAGTGCTCTGTCAGGTATGTTAGTTTTGTTTTGTATCAGTTAAAATAATATTATGATGACTTTCTTGCTGTTCTAAGAAGATTTCTGCAGTAAACTCTTTTATATATGAATACTGTCTATGTTAATTTTCTACATGTTCTCTGGGAGGCCTACATGTTCTCTGGGAGGCTCATTCTGAGTTAATTTTGAAGCAAAAACACAAGTGTGCTCCAATGTCTACCATGTCTTCACCTTGGAG